GCCGCCCCACAGCACATTGATTCAGGGGGAGCAGCCCTAGGTTGGCAGCCTGACCCCCAGGATCCCTTGCAAGCCAGGGCTGCTCCAAGCAGGCTTCACATGCTGTGCATGAATAAACTGTGGAGCTTATTGCTCTGGAGTTAATTGCTCCCAGGTGCACATTTAAACGGCATGCCCAGGAGCAATAAACTGCAGAGCAATAAGCTCTGCAGTTTATTCATGCACAAGAATAGCACATGTAGACATGCCTAGTTTGACTCTGAAAAACCCCAACTAGGTATTCCATATTTATTGTCTACATTTTTGTTAGAGTTGCTTAATTCCTTGCTCCTATGAACTTGATGTAGCTGAATTAAGTTTCTTCCTTTTCTCTTTCATACTTCACTAGCAATATGAGGGGATCTGCTGGCAAAATTAGGCCTTCAGTTACACATGAGCACTGTAACTTCACATTATGCTCCCAGTAACACCAATACAAGTTGTTATTCTTTAATGAGATTACACAGGCATAACTGACTGATAGGAATAATCATGAAAAAGAAGCATCAGATTATTCTCCTAGCAGTGTTAATGCTACAGGGCTAATGGAGGCTAAACCCCCAAATTACCACACTTATCACTGAGGTCAGTAAGTGCAGTTATATTTAATAAAGAGACATTTTTACGTAATCATTCTCAAGGTAGAACCACACTTTAAAGGGCTTCATGTAGCATTTATGAAAGATGAAGGGGGAAAAATTAAAATTAGCCTAATATAAAATTACGTGATGCTGAATGCCTGATTAATAGCATGTGAAAGAGGTAATTTAGTATAGAAGCAATTTTTTGACATTTTAAGTCTCCGAAAGGGACACTACCCCTTTCATTCTGACATGCTGGCATAGATCATAATGTGATACAGCTCACATGTAGTCCCAATGGAACATGGAGCTGGCCTCCAAGGGGGTTAGGTATAAGGTGACATTTTGCAGTGTTATTTATTTTATTTTTAAGGCTGCAGGTGTTCTTTATTCTAGCACCAAATAAAAAATTGAAGCTTCTGGCTATAATATGAGCATCAACAAGGTCACTGCTGTATTTTGTACATGGGAAATTAGCTTATATGGGCTTTAATCCACAGCTCTCTAAAGCCGCCTCTGGCCCATCAGAGCTGAGCTGCAGCCTTCACTGTAACTTGTATTACTTAAACTGGAATTTCAACTATGAGCTATGATAGAGTGGTGCATTTCCTTGCTACTGTTGTTAATATTTTGATTATTATGTCTCTTTCTTTGTTATGTGCAGATTTAGGGGGCATATCTCCCACAATGAGTTGAAGGTTTTCTGGAAGCATGCAAGTGAGACCAAAAGGTTTAGATGTAGAGAATTTCAGAAGAGGTATAAAGACAGCTAATTTGCCACGCCTATTATTTTGCCAGGGAAACAGCATATGATATTACCATAGAATTCTTCCTATGATGATAAGCAGGGATCCTGGTTTTCTCTGATAAAAAAGTCCCCAATTTTTGGGTTAGAAAAAGTAAGCCAAAATCCACATTTTTCTGTGATTAAAATGAAACACCAGTAATTATATATATGTGTGTGTGTGTGGTGTGCGTATATATATATATATATGTAAATATATTAGTGGTGTTTCATTTTAATAGATCAGAATGTGATACAGCGTTTTATATATATATATATATATATATATATATATATAT